TATTGTACGTGATCTTCTCACGTAAAAAAAATATAGATATTAAAAAAAAAATGAAAAATATCTTTATGAAATATTCCTGCTTGAATGAACTACTTACATACATACATACTTATGTATATCTACAACTAGGTGAACATATCAGCAAACACTGTACGTCAAGTTTTCAACTTCATATGAACAGTAATTGTTCTAATATTATTGCTCTAGTTCACATACACAAAAAGTGTAATTTTCAATAAATTGTAATCTTTTATACAATTTCAATTTATGTATGTAGCTATAAAATTGTATTACAACTTTATTATAAGATACATATGTTGAAAAAAAATTTGTAAGTCATATTCGTAATTCTTATTGTATGAACATTTTTAGCACGTTTTCCCGAAAAATTTTCCTTCAATAAGTTTTACTGTCTTTCAGGTTGACAATCCGCTTATGTAACTTTTATACTGTTACGATAGAATGAAATTTCAATACTCAAATAGATCCTGGTAAACACATTAATTATCATAGGCGAAATTTCTCAATAACCTCTCAACGTATCAAAAGGTTAGAAACTCAGAACTTACTTTTTTTCTATCATAAAACAAACGTCAGGTTTGCGAATTAACTTTTAAAAAGTGATCTGTTATTTTGAACATGTTCTTCGTTCGCTAATTTTCAGAGCAATTTTTCTTTTACACGGCAAATCGGATATGTCTCGAATACGTTAACTACACATTACTTAACAGATAAAAAGGTAACAGTAATCGTTGCCATACAAATTCAAGACTTGAATTCTTGAAGAGAAATGTGCTATTTTAGAAACAATAAGTTTGACCCACTATAATACATATATTTTTTTAATTCAGACTTTACAAATATAATAACGAATTTATTGGCTTTTCAGATAAAGAGAATGAAAAATATTAAATATAATAGTAGAGCGTAGAGTATAACGTGTGCTTTAAACGTGATCATTACACGATATCGATAATATTTTTATTCTTTTACAATATTCATACTAATAGGTTAAATATATAGTTATACAAAAATTTTAAACAAGTGCTAAGTGATCACTCATCTATGGTCAAATCAAAATGAATGCAGAAGACGGTTTTTTTGGTTAACAAAACAGATTGAGACAATCATCATCTTCTACTGAATGAGATAAGTGTGTACATATGTAAATATTTTAAATGTAGTATAAAAATATACATACATATGTGAAAACAAGTTAAGATGCAATCGAACAAGCCAAACAAGAAAATTAATAAAAATTCAAAGTCAAAAAAAAAAAAAATTAAAACGCTTTAATAACACGATGAATGAAAGACTTTCACTTTTTTGGAAATTAGATGCTAATTTTAAAATTCAATAACACCAAAATATAGAAATTATAAAATTATTTTGAAACGCTTACAATGTACACACACATTGAAATTCAAATATAAAAAAATTATATAAAAGAAGACGCACTACATAGAAGCTTGTATTAAAAATAAAAGGTTATCAAACTATTTAGCACGTTTCTCTGTGTATTTGAATAAACTACACATAAAAGTATTATAAAGCACGTCAATGTGTGGTGCATATGAATATGAGCCCATTTTTTTTTATATTCATATGTATGTATATAGGTAATTATAATGATGGTTAAAAAAATCCGTCCAAAATATTAAATGGCTATTGGATCATCGGAATTTTTTGGACTTTAGTTATTGTTTTTTTTCTTTTCTTGGTAATTTTTTTGTTATTGTGTTTTTTGTTATTTATTTTTATTCATCATTTCTCTTTTTAATGCTTTGAACAAATTATGACCAGCTGATTCTATATAAAACAAAATCATAATTTTTTTCACAACATTAATATAACAGTATATTGCCGTTTCGCAAGTAAAATCTCGTAAATTGTATTTTGTCAAATTTAGATTTTTTTGTGTATCAAGTATACCATCCCAATAAAATGTATATGCGCAGTCTAAACATCTCTACAAAAGCAAGCAATAAAATTGAATGTAATGGTGTTAAAATCGATTGTGGTCGGTTAAAGTAGTTAATGGTTCAGACCGAAATTTGGCGAACTAACATCATTTTATTTAATTATAGTTTCCTCTGTCCTACCCATCTTTGTTACCAAAGCGTTTTTTCTCCATTTAGATCGAGCACACGTCGTGCTAGTCTTGAATGGTATTTTTATCAACTTATCAACTGTAGTAGATACAATATAAAATATTTTATAATCCACATCTTCATCTAATTGTCAAAGTATTTCATAGAACTGCATGTAGAATTTCAAAGTACAATTTTCGTTTGACCTTAAAAATTTTAGAAACTTTAGGGAATCGGGTATGCATATTTTTGTAGTTTGTAAGAAAATTTTTCTGCATCGATAATATATTGAGTACTGAAGAGAAATGTTAAAGCTTATACAATTTGTGTTCGTAGTTTTCAAAATTAAACTTATCAGATTAAAGATTTTTAAATTTATATTAAACGATAAATTGATTTTTCTTGTCAAAATTTTGACATTTAGGAAAAAAAAAGAAGTAAAAATAATTTCTCTTAAAAATAATTTAAAAATCATCAAAATAAATCATTGACTGAATTATCGATTAATAAATCTATTTAATGTAGATTACAGGTAGTCGATTAAATTTAAAACGGCAAATTGAATAAATTTGTAATAGAAAACTTTTATTAAATTTTCCTGAAGAGTCGAAAGTTGTAATATCAATATCGTTAAAATTGTGGTTGAGTTCATGTTTGCAGCTAGTCGAACAATACCACTGACTAATGTCGGACAAATTACTGACATGACAATATATTGTGAAAATAAAAATAAATAATCAAATCAAACTATCTAAAAAATTTATGCCAAAATTAAAAGTAGGTTATTTTGAGCTTTGCGCTGTGTTGACATTACGTTTGAACTTCACATTGTCAATAAGTTTTCTATATTTGTCATACTTCTACCTTTTCTGCGTTGTGCTAACGTTGCGTTACTTTACATTTTGAATCTAGAGTAAAACGTAAATACTTGTATAACTCGAAAGATTACAGCGCAAAGACAACACTTGTACGAAGCTTTGCATATTTCTACTTTTCCCGCAACTAAATTTTAAAAAAATTACTAAAATAAAAAATTATTATAAATTGATGATGAGTTTAAAGTATGGCGTAAATTTAATTAGTTATTTAACAGCGTCAAAAATATTCATACATAATTTCCTAATTATACTAAAGATATACCATAAAAAATTTTGGTTAAAAAATTTTAAAATTGAATTTGTTTCAAGCAAGCGATAGTGAAAATTAAATGGAAAATGTTTGTATTTACGTAATGTGAAGACTGAACGGCTGGACAACAAAGAATAATAATTCGGAACCAACGGAACATACAAATTAACTAGAGTTTTTACATGTGTATAATAATTGATAATCAAATCATTACTCTAGTTTCTATTTTATTTGATTTTTATACATAATTGCGAGTACGTCTTTTGTTAATCATTAATCAACAATCATGCATTGTGTAGGTGCACGCACATACCAAAAAATTGAATAATTCCCAATGTTAATAAAAGAAAGTGAAAATATTTTGTACATATATTTATTTACGCTTTTAAAATAATGATAAACGAAGGAGAAGGTTAACATTTTGATAATTTACGGATGTAATAAATAAGAAATAGCAGAAAAGGCAAAATGAAATTGTATGAAAGTACAAAATATTTAATTTACAAACTTTATTATTTGTGGAAATTTTATTTGCGATGAGCTCGTTCAGTGGGTATGAAATGATTTTAAATTAAAAGAATCACTTAAATTGTTTTTCGTTTCTTCTTTCCTCTAATAAAATGAGGAAGTAGAATTATTATTGGAGCAAATTGTAAATTATGTATGAGATTACCTAACTTAAGGTAAGTAAAATAATAGTAATGTTGTTAAGATTTTTTTTTATTATGGCGAGAACACCAATTGAAAGCAAATTTTTAAGAATTTGGTAGAATAAGCCATATTGTATTGTGTGGAAAGCTGAAAAAACCTGGTCTCCTTTGCCATTCTGGCAATAATACATCTATAATACGCATCTATGGTACGCAGTAATAAAATTTATATAAGCAGAATATTCGATATTATCATCCAGATACTATCCAGATAAATAAAAGGTTAAGAAAACTCAATTCTTTTTTTTTTTATATTAGGCCTCAAAATTTTTCCTTCCCTGAGACTATTTTCATTTTTATGTTCATATCCAGGGAAATAACTAGATAGGTACCTACCTATTTATATCACGGTATATTAAAATTGATAAAACACTTATATTTGAATTTATCAGATCTACCCTATTGCGAAGTATGACCACCCTCTAGCAAAGTAATAACTTTTATTTCACAAAATAATGAAGTGCAAAATTACTTGAATTTCATCATTGTAACTTACTTTTCATTCATGAAATTTCTCAAAAGTTTTAATATTTGAAAATTTTGCAATACGAATTTCAATTTATAAAATAGACTTTGTATCATAAATGAAATCACTTCCTGATTTCCAACAATAAAAGCGAGTGAAAAACAACACAAAATTTAATTACTTAATTTAGCACCAACAACCAAATTCATATTAGAACGCCAACTTTTACTTCATAAATTTTATTTAACTGTCAATTATCAGTATCTACGATCACCATAATTGGAATAATGAATTCCTTAATCGCTACTTCATCCAAGTGACACCAATATTTTTCTTTTTTTTCTATTTGTTCGTAAACAATAGGTTTATTCACAAAACATGAAAGAGGTTTTGTTGCATTCTCTTCAGAATATGTCAACATTAAATGTTCAAAGTGAGAAAAAACAAAATTGAACTTGCACTGAATATATAAAACGGCAGAAAAAGTTCAATAGTTAATTGTAAAGAAGTAACGTCGGGCATTTTTTAAAATAATAATTAAAATATGGTTAAAGAAAATCAAAATAAAAAAAAAATTATAAAAATTTTAATACATGTGTCACGTACCTTTTAACATCTGCCATTGATATTTTACAATATCATTCATTTCATCTAGTAGTCTTGCTGTTTGATCACGTGCACAATTCCATGGTTGCTGTCTACCAGGACATAATACTAATTCTATATATGGCGATAATTCTATAAAATTTTTAAAGAAATAAAACTTTATTAATTAAAGTATTGCTTTTGAAAATCTAATGAAAAATAATATTTATATAATAGGTATGGTTTTATTTATAAAAATCAACTATTAAAAATCATTACAGAATAGGTAAATTAAAGAGAAAGGATCGCTTGACCAATATCATATAATTGCGTTCTATTAATGTTTTGGTCCTTTAATGGTGGTAATAAAAATTATTGCAAGGCACATTTCTGTTTAATACAGCAAAGATGTGTGTTTCATTACGATTCGTTCATAATCAAAGAATTATTCATACTTAATAGGATAAAAAAAAAGAAATGATAAAAATGGCTCATTCAAAATATTTCTTTCAAATAGTTCTCGAAATCCACACTCAATGTTTTTTTTTTTTCAGATATCAGAAAGCAAAGCAAGGTTGGAGCAATTTGATCGAATGTGGACATAGGGTATTAACTATTGCGTCAAGCAGCCTTGTCCTGTCTTTTATATTTTCGTGCCTATTTCAACATAATAGGGAGAGTGATAAACAAGCACTGCCATAAAATCAAGGAAACTATTTTCCATATTTTTTTTAAGTGCACCAAATAGAAGTGGGCCGATGGTTTTTTTTTGTGAAGAAATTGAAATAATAAATTCAATATGAAAGAAAAATATTTTTATATAAAAAATTCTGGAGCAGTGTTGTGGAGCAAACAGTCCAGGAGATTTTGAGAAGAAGGAAAGTTCAACGTGAAGTAGAATGATAGCGTTCAGCCTGAAGTAATAACGATCGTACTTGTAGGACTCATTTTACACAAATGGTATGTGCTAAATTCATTACAAACTAAAGTTTAATTCTTTGAAAAGATTTCAAAGTTTTCCCTTTTTAACAATAACCATATATCGCTCTACCATATTTTTGCTTTTCACTTCATAAGTCAGGGAATAGTCAAACTTAGATTGAAAGCGGAAGGGTCTCTTAAATAACATTATTACATTTATTTCAAAATAATGAAAAATGTTGATGACTTCAACTCAACACTGCTTGAAATCAACACTGCTAAAAAACAAAACAACTGCACTAAAAATTTTTAAAATTTCTCTGACATTGCTTTTTGTATTCTCGGATAACAATTTTTACACATTCATAAACCAACAAATTAATCTGTAGTCTTGACACAATTACTTTTAAGTATTTTAAATCCCATAACAGATTAAAAACATTGTAACCTCATGGGAATACACATGTTTTTATGGTGTAATTAATACCAAAACAATCGTGTTTTCAAATCAAAAAGAAATTTAATTATTTAATTTAATTTATAAAAATCTCCTCTTATTATCTTTAAACTTAAATAATTTTCAATTTAATATTTGATTCCAATAAATTTTCTTACTAACCAATTAAATTAAAACTAAGCTACAGTAAATTCATGGATATTTTTTTCTTTTTGATTTCATGAAACCAAAATCATCAAATACCACAATCATCCCAATGATTATCATTTCAATTTCCAGAAAACAAAACCAAAAAAGAATTTTCAATCATCCTCATTAACTAACCATGTTTTTTGTCCTATTGTTTACTCATTTCTAACACAAACTATTCAATAAAACATCACAGAAGTCATACAGTTGAACCAGGGACATCTCATGGAAAAAATAAATTTTATTTTTGTTTATGATTTTGTTTTTGTTTTCGTAAATCATGAATGACGTTTTACAATCCAAATTGCATTGGAATTTTCCCTGGAGAAAGATTTAATCAAGAAATCAAATTAGAAATGTATGTGTGTAGATACATGCATATGTATTCTGTTTAAATGAATTATGTTGATACCATATTTCTAAACCACATTCAATTGCATTCATCTACCTTGATTCTTAATATAACGTATACCTTGAATTTACCAAATACAATTGTTTGCAATTCAGAATACACTTAGTTACATATGAATGCCTAGAATAATTGCTGCTTGTAACTGATATAAAAATTTCATTGCACATGTACCAAATTTTTCATTATGTTGTAAATTCCTATATAGAGATTATCAAAATATCCAAAATATTTTGATAAAAGAAAAATTTTCGCAAGTTCCTGTATTAATATTATTTTACTCTCTAAATTTTGCTACAAGTTTTTTAAGTTATGCAGCAAAAACTTATTATAGAAGGCGAAAATTATTTTTTTACACGCTTTAAAAAGGAAAATTAAAAAGTAAATTTTCTATTTTGTTCGATTGTTAGGGCAAATTTTGTGGGAAAATTTATTCAGTACAATATTTTTAAAAATAAAATGAACATGCAATATAATTTTTACTCTAAGAAATTAGAAAATTTAGTTGCAATGTAAAATTTATTGAATTTTTTATTTAAAAAATTTGAAATTAATTCCAAACAGAATAAAGAAAATTGGAAAAAAGAGTTGATCAGGAAAATAATCAGGCGTTGAGTACTACAAATAAGATTTTGAACAAAGTTTAATTTCTTTAGTAAAGCGGAAACACTAGGTTATTATAGAAATGTAAAGGACCATGTAAGAGGCATCCCCTAGTGGAATATTAAGAATTGATTAAAGGTTTTCCCTCTGTAATATGCAATATTAATCATCTTAGGGCAATAAAAACCATATAATTATTGCCAAAATATCATGTTAAAAAATAAATACAATGTTGCCGTTTTTACATTATGAACAGATGATTGCCACTCAAAGTTGATTCGATTTATTTTGTTTTGGTTCTCTTTTGTTTTCATTACTACGACATTATTTTGTTTATTACCTACTTACATTCATAACTAATTTTTTTTGTGTTTATACGAAATTTACAGGTGCACGTTCTTAAATTGTGATTGAAAAGTTGTTTTTTATGACTTTTGTTTCATCATAAAATACTATGGCATAGAATTTTTTTTCTTTTATTTTTTAATTTTGATGATCAGGTGTTATAAAGAAATTGAAATAATGATGCAATATAATCGTGTTTTATATGCCTTTAATTGGAAAATATAGAAAATCAAAAAATATTTGATAAAAATACAAAAGAAAGTTAATGAGAAAATTTTTCTTTCTACTGAATTGTTTTCGTGATACTCACATATATTTTTACGAATTAATAATTTAATTACATGAATGTATGTAAGTGTACGCTTACATACATATGTATATATTTATAATATTCAATTATTCATAATATTTAAATTTAGTTCTTCAGCGATTTGTTTATAAATATTTTTGCATTTTTCTGATAAAATAATAACATAAATATTGGTAACACTTCGTAACAGTTATAAAAAAGTAGAGATTAGAAATATGTATGAACGTGCTAATAATGGCATACATAAACAAAGTAGTTGTTAAATTGACAACTTAACTTTAAGAGTGACCTTAAAGTATATGTGTGAAATCATTTGTTTGGTAGGAGTTGGCTGAGATAAAGAGCGAAAAATGAGAACTAAGTACTTGGGGGGTTTTCGTTTATTCAGTTCTAGAATAGCTCTAGAAAATTACTGGCTGTAATAAAATGCGTTCGGAAATTCAATCTGTAAAAAAGAAGTGTCAAAAATGTAGCGCAGACGCCTAGTTTCAATTTCGTCGTTCCGAATGAAATTTCTTTTTTTTTTTTTAAATTTAAACTTCAAAAAAATTTTAGTTTCATAAACAATGTTATTTCTGTTATTTTTCCCCCACTGATTATTTAGAAGTTTTAGAACTTGTAGACTCCGTAAAAAAGAAAAATTTGCTGAAGTTTTTCGATACTCTTTAACTCTGCGGCTTGGAAGTTTTATTTATAATGTAGAACTTTCAGCGCAGCATGCATAAACCAAAACCTCCCTTTTTGTATGAAAAATTAAAAATTGAAAAGTGTAAACCAAAAAATTTTAAGAATTATGTGGCTAGAAAGACAGAAAAGTAAATGTAAGTTTTTTAAGCTTCCCAAAGAGGAAGTATTGTGCGAAGTAACTGAAAGCTTGTTCCATAGAAAAACGGTATTCTATGGATTCAGTAATATTAGTCAAAAATTTCATATTTAGATTCTGGCTACCACAAGTTCTTTTATTGTAATTTTTATAAATACTTAAATACAAATACTTTCTTTTTGCCGATTATAAAATGAAATAAAATATGTCATTTTGCTGATAACTTGACAACTTTGTTTGAACAAAAACTGAAGTAAATCAATGAAAAATGTCTTTTATTTTAAGTAAAATTAATATTATGGAAAAAACATTTGGTAGCAAAAAATATTTTGTTTTAAAGTTATTACAAATAGAAAATTAATTATAAAAAATATCAGAAGCCTTTCATTTTACCCGAATCATAAACATTTCATAAAATAATATTTACGGCTACCTATAGGGAAAAATAAAATAATGCTTCTGGCATAATAAAAGTTAAATTTAAATATTTGCAAAAAAATCTTAATAAATTGCAATTTATCAATTAAATTCAATTTGAAAAATTTTTTATTTTACTCTAGTTTTATATTTTAATTATTTTTTTGTTGCGAATGTTCACTTTCATTGTCCTGAACATCAGTAACTCGCAGAAAAAGTAAAATTTTGGATTTACGATCACTTTTTTTTTGGTAAAGAAATGTGATTTACTTATTTGCTTATAAAACTTTTTAAAGTCACGAGAAAATCTATTGTCAATGCAACATAAATAATTTAGGAAAATGAAAAAAATTTAAACTCGTGACTGAATAAGCGCCACATTCCTCTGATTGTTTTAAACAAAGATTGCATTTTTTATTTTCCTTATTTTTGCATTTATAGAAAAATGCAAAATATTGGCGCAAAAATTTGAATTTATGTTGCATTCATGGAAATTTTTCTTTTTTTGAAGAAGACGAAGAAAAATTTCTTTTATTTTATTGCATCTTCAATCAGCTTTACAATTGAAATTTCAACATGCAAGAACAAATTTTATCTCAAATGTTGAGTAAATAGATTTGTATAAAATTAAAATGATAACTTGATGATAAACAAAGCTAGAATTAAATTTTGCTCAGAA